GCAGAAAAAGCGTCTGCACTGTAAGGAAGCAATGAGTGTACTCTCATTGACCTGGGGAGTCGTAGGCGCACAGACACAGGATTAATTATCTTGGACACAGGAAATTGACCCACAAACCTAGGGGCCAATTTTTTGGAGGCGACATGAAGAGTTAGATCTTTGGTGGAGAGCCAGACCTTCTGGCCCGGTCTGTAGAGGGGAGCAGCCCTGCGATGGACGTCTGCTACAGCCTTCATCCGGGCTGAGCTTCTGAGTAGGGCCTGGTGAGCACCAGCCCAGATCCGGCGGCAGCGTCTAATCATGGCATGAGTTACCTCTCCTTCGTTGGCTGAAAACAGCGGGGGCTGGTAGCCATTGGCACAATGGAAGGGAGAGAGACCTGTGGCCGCTGTGGGGAGAATGTTATGGGGCAAACTCAACCCATGTGAGGTGGTCGCTCCAGATGGCCTGGTTCTGGGAGACAAGACAACGTATTGTAGTCTCCAGTTCCTGATTCAGGCGCTCCGACTGTCCATTTGATTGTGGGTGATAGCCAGATGACATGCTGACGGTGACGTCTAAGAGCCGGCAAAAACAGAATGCGGAAATAAACTGTGGACCCCTGTCGGAAACAAAGTCACTAGGAAACCCATGGATCTTGAATACCTGGTTCATCATGACCTTTGCGGTACCCTTGGCAGAGGGAAGCTTGGTTAGGGGGATGACATGAGCCATCTTGGAGAACCGGTCCACCACTCTCAGGACCGTTTTATTGCCTTTGGATGGTGGGAGTCCTGTCACAAAGTCCATGGAAATGTGTGACCAGGGACGTTGGGGAACAGGCAGCGGCTGAAGCAAGCCCATCTGGACCTGAGGTCTTATTACGGGCACACACAGGCCGCTACGTACTCCGCCACCTCCTTCTTCATGGCTGGCCACCAGAACCACTGTTTGATCAAGAACATGGTTCGTTTAACACCAGGATGGCACGTGAGCAAAGACGTGTGAGCCCAGTGGATTACCTTGGAGCGAAGAGACACAGGGGACAAACAACAGGTTTGCTCGGGCACTCGCTAGGTGCCGGGCTCACAACATTAGCTTGCTTCACGTCTGTTTCTATTTGCCAAGAAAACTCTCCGACCACACGGTTCAGTGGAAAGATGGTTTTGGGTTCTACGGCAAGTGGTTCTGGGTCGCAAAGGCGAGACAGAGCATCAGGCTTCCGGTTCTGGGACCCGGGGCGAAAAGAGAGCGTAAAGTGGAACCTACTAAAAAAGAATGTCCACCTGGCCTGGCGAGAGTTGAGGCGTTTAGCTTTTCTAATGTATTCCAGGTTCTTATGGTCTGTCCAGACCATAAGAACAGTCTGGTGCTGTTTTGACCCTTTTCATAGGCGTTATGACAACATCGTGTTTTTTGGCGAGGGATGCGTTTCCATGGAACGGCATATGGTGAGATGTCAGATTTGACGTAGAGCTGTTGAGGCATGGACCGGTGATATACAAGTGAAGATTGGGGGATGATCGGACCGTGTCCATTGGAGTTACAGCGACATCGTGTTTTATGAAGGATGCGTTGCCATGGTAACACCACGTTATGTAACATCAGATTTGACGAAGAGCTGTTCAGATTTGACGTAGAGCTAGTGGCGTTCTGAGCATGTCAGTTGGAGTTATGACATCATCACACAGGTGTTTGTGTTTGAGGTAACAATGTTATCAAACACCTGTCTTTGAGCCCAGAGATCAAAGGTTTCCATGGTGATGTGCAGTAATCAGTGAGAGGAGAGCCTTTCCATTGATCTGAATGAGAGATAAACCTCTTACATGTGAACGTTTTGTTGAAGAACCGTAGCAGATATCGGTGAAATGTCAACGCGTGAAGCATGTCAGGACCCTGACGAGCGTCTGAGTCTGCTTTTTGTGTACTTTCGGGTCAATAATGTGGCCTTTTTGGCAGATTAACTAAAGGTGTGCGGCTGCTGCTGTGAGGAAAGATCAGGCTGAATTTACAATGGGCCTTAATGGAGACATGTTGAAAGTTTTTTGTCACTTCATGCCCTTAAGAGGCATTTTGTTTTAATTATTTTGCTTAATTATTTTTTATTTTTCAACGTAGGAGAGGTTTTCCTACGTTTTTCATGAAAAATGATGTCTCATGAGTGTAGGGTTTGGGAATTATGGCAAGTTAAAAAAAAAATATGAAGGCGAATTTCAAGCTGTTCCCCCCACTCTAGCTGTGACATCATCAGTGTTGGGTGTAACAGTAATGTATTACTTTTTGACTGTAACGAAGTAATGTAACGCATTACTAATGAAATTTGGGTAATATACTACCCGTTACAATTCTCAGTAACGCAGTTACAACTCATTTTTAATAAGTAGTAAAATAAGTAACATCTGAAGAAGGCCTCTATACCAAGCTCCAAACTAAGTTAAATATCTCAAAAAGTGTAAAAGATATGAAAAATCATATGCTGCAAAATGCATTCCTGCAGAAAATGCGTGTGAATGCTGTTAAACTGTGAACATTTGTTGCTGAATTGAGCTGAAAATGCAGAAAAAGCTGAATATGTTATTAGCTGAATGGTAGCTGCTTGTAGCTACAGAGACCAAGTCAGTGTGTTGCTGAACTAGCAGAGAAATGCAGAAAAGTGAAATGATTTGAATCAAATTGTTACAGCTCAAATGCATTGCAATGACTGTTGAAAACTTGAAAGTGAAATGTTAAACTGGAAAGAGTAGGAAAAATAGTGAAGAAGATTCATATTTAAAAGAAAATGTTTAAAAAAGGTATAAACAACAACATGTATAGCCTCAATGTCCTGAAATAGCTGAATAATGTAATAGTTGAATGGTTTCTGCAGCTGAAAGTAGGCCTGAAGGAGTTACATATCAGATGTAAGTAGTGAATGAATGTGTATTAGGAAGAGAAAAGAAAGTAAAAGGCTTGGGAAAGCAGCAGAATATTTTGACTGCAAACTTTTCGACTAAAACCATACGTCACCAATAACTGTATAAAATATGTGGAACATGTTTGAAGTCAGTATGAGAGTTACTAGGTCCAGTGTGGTTTGTCAGTGTGTGTTTCTGTGCTGAGCACCTACTCATAACAAATAATCATAACACCTGTGTGAAGCCCCGGATATCAAAGGTTTCAATATGCCCAGCAACACCATGGTTACCAACTGCAGCACTGAGTCCCATTAAGAATGCATTGAGGATTATATCTGACAATTTTGCCACCTGTTCAAAAACTATGGCTCCTATAAAAAAAAATGACCAGACCGTGAGCATCAGGGAATCCCAATGAACTGATATATGGTTGTTTTTTTGGGTTTTGTGTGTAAAATGTGAAAATGGGAGCAGTTTGTCTAAAGTTTACTTCTCTCTGTTCTGAAGAAAGTTCCGGACAAATTTAACATGGGAGTCTATTGGGAGCTAGGTGGACTTTTTGTCACTCAGATCACTATTGGGCCAGCACGGTGGGTCCGTTTGATATGATGAAGGCAATTGAGCAGGCCAGACTAATTATGCTCCTGAAATCTTTTGAAATTATTTGAATAGAGTGTATATTTTGGCTCTAAGAGCAGTTTTAAAATATTTCTTCCGAAGATTTTTAAGACCCTCTACACTCTGATGATGTCATGCACTCTAGCCCTGAAGAGTCCCTCCCATAGACACCCATTATAAAATCGAAAACGGCCTGAAAATGTACCAAAACTTAAACGTTGATAGGGTCAAAAACTGTAAAAGATATCAAAGATCTGAAGAACAAGTTTTATAGCTGAAGGTCTTGTGATCATGTTAAAGTTGGAATGAAGTGTCTAGCTGAAAGTATGTGGAAGGAGTAGCATTTGGCACAAGGTGTAGGTAAAAGAGGATTTGAAGGTTCCTCCCATTGAGTTACATGTTAAAAAAAAGAGTTTAAAAAGCTGAATATTTTGAAAAGTATAAAATATTTTGAAAAAGTTGAAAGTTTCCCATCATGTGCTGAAAAGGCTGAATATTTTGATATTTGAATGGTTTCTGTAGCTGAAAGTATGCTGAAGTTGAAGTTGTAAACAGCATCGCACTAATAATAATATAAGATTAAAGAACAGAATAATAACAAAACATAAACATGACTAGACTAACATCTTTGACGAGACACAACAGAACACCAGACAAATCATGGCTGACAGTTACTCTAGGTACTTCTAGGTCATTTCCCTAATTAGGCAACTTTCTTAGCAAAACTGACAATTCGACTGCAACCCTGGACCCTGGAACTGACGCAGCCTAACTGGAATGCAGCCATAATCAGATGTTAAGCACTACACCTGTATGCCGCTCCACAGTGGCATCAGGTCAGGGGCTCAGGTTAATGCAGGAGCAACGAATGCTGGATGTTGGAAGCCTTTTACAAACTAATCTGCTGATAAACTAATCTTAATTGTAATAAAAATCATATCTGGGTGACTAGCAGCATCGGACATTAGGCATGTTAGTCCTGAACCGTGTTTGAAAATGTAACAAAGTACATTTACTCAAGTATCGCACTTAAGTAAAAGGTTGAAGTACTGTACTTTACATTAGTAGTTTGATTTAGACACTTTGACTACAAGCACAGGTGTAAGCTCTAACAATAACGATGTGTGCTGTTCATGTGTCCCAGAAGATGTTTGTTGAAAAAGGGAACACCGCAACAATCCAGGTTTCCTTCCAAATGTATAAAAGAAATTGGCAATAAATGTGAATAAATGTTTATTACAATTCTCTATGGTTCTTTCACAATGACGTTGTCGTGGCCATTATATATCTAACGTATCTTAAACATTTTATATTGAGTATTCTTTGAGGTTCATGTCCATTCTACTGTAGATACATTTATATACTTTCTGTTTATTGTTTGTTTTATTTTATTTTATACTTATTTTCCACCTTTTCATTTTAAATATTGTATATGTATATTGTAATATTGTGTGTGTGTGTGTGTGTGTGTGTGTGTGTGTGTGTGTGTGTGTGTGTGTGTGTGTCCAGATAAATACACCCAGCTGAACAGCGCCCTCTTCAGTATGAACGGACAGACGGGGTACGTGCTGCAGCCCGAGCTCATGCGCTATGATAGCTACGACCCCAACCAGGAGAAGAAGAAGGTCAAGTACAAAATCACTGTTAGGGTACGTAACACTCTCAATATTTATAACTGTCTGGACGCACTTTGAATTGCCTTTGGTGAAATCGGCAATATAAATAAACTTGCCCACAAGGCATGAGGCAGGGCCAGTGAAAAACTGTGTCAACGATATTAGAGGGGCCTGATGCTGATAAACTAATCTGAATTTGTAATCAAATCAAATCTGGGTGACTAGCAGCATTCTGACATTAGCCTCTTAAGCACGGCGGTCCCCCATTGGACCCCTCCCACCGTTTCTTTTTCGAGATAATGTCTCAGGGCTTCTTAACATTTATGAAACTATTAATGTGTAGCACCAGATTAACGGGAAGAATCTCAGCTAACTGAAGATATGAACCATTTTTACCAAAAAAAAAACACAAGTCTCATAAGAAGCGTCTAAATGACCCCTGAGCGAAAAAATTCTAACGCACTGCGGCACACAATTCAAGATAAAAATACCCTTATTACTTATCGTAGCTGCACATACAATATAGCCGATTAAAGCTGAGACTCCACTGATTATTTAGGTATAGTATCATCACTGAGCGATCCGAACTTGCGACAGGGGAAGCAAACACAGACATCACAACACGTACCTTTACGGAGCATTTACGGCAGATCGTCTCACCGTAGCTGTCAATTAGGTCAAAAGACGTGTTCAATGGCATTAAAACGAAAAAAAAAAATGCTACAACTGTTGATCCATAGGTTGATAATGTATCTGTGCCTTTGAAAAAATTATTTATAATCCATAATTCCATTTTTATGTAAAAATCGGAGCGGAAAAGTTAGCTGCTAATGGTAGCCACCAGAGTGTATGCAGCTTCCGGTTTTGGTAACGCGTCACTCTCACTCCTTATTTGTTAACGTTTTGGTGTGTATATAACTTTCCCTCGATTCCATTGGCTCTAGCCGTTATAAAGAGATTTCATTCATCAAAATCGAGCAAGGGGGACCAGAGATAGGTCAAATCCACCCAAATGACCCCAGAAGTGGGGTTTTTTGGCTAAATCTCCCTAAAAAGGTCAAATTTCACTTGTTTTGCATCAATCTTGATACAGGGTACTTATTATATGTTGTACTTTGGATTCCTAAAGCTTTTAGTCTACCTTACCATCATCCAAGGGTAGTTTTCACTATAAGTAAAAAGAATTTTTGGACGGACACTATAATTTACAGTTTTTTACTATGTTCAATCTGAATTTTCTTTAAAATAAAAAACATCTATATTGATTCTGACTTTTCTACATCTAACTCACAGGTTTATCATTACTTTGAGAATAAAGATTATTAATTTAACCCTTTTAGAAGGGAAGATATGGTCATTTGTTCTGGGAATGTCATTTTCGAGCCTGAGACCTGAAAAACAGGCTCAGGGCTTAAGAGGTTAGGCATGTTAGTCTTGAACAGTTGTTGAAGTATCGCACTTAAGTAAAATGTTGAGGTACCTGTACTTTACATTAGTAGTTTGATTTTATGCTACTTCATACTTTTACCCCACTACATTTAGAAGCCAGTATTGTACTCTTTACTCCATTACATCTATCTGACAGAGTTACTTTATACATTATTAGTTAATACAAAATAGAAATCAACTAATAAAAAAAAAAATACAAGTTAAAATATTCAGCAGCAGTAAACAAGATAGTTAAAGTTAACTCCACCTTTACCAGCTGTGATAAACACATAAATGCATCGATAAGTTGAATCCCTTAATTTCTCATATATGATTCTTATACGCGAAACAAGCACTTGACTATTAGTACTTATATATATATTTAGATGCCAATGCTTCTGTACATTTACTATAGTAAGATTTAGAATGCAGGTCTTACACTTGTATTTTCACAACTAAGTATTGCTTCTTTGACTGAAGTATAATATCTCAGTCCTGAGAGCAGTTCTGACGGCGGTGTGTGTGCAGGTGATCGCTGCCAGACACCTTCCAAGCCGGGCCGCAGCATCGTCAGTCCCTTCGTGAGATCGAGCTGTGTGGCCACACAGAAAGAGAGTTCAAGACCGTCGTCTAGCCGTAAGTAAAGGCGGGGGGGAACAGTTTGACCTGTGGGACAGAACAAGGGGCGAGGATGAACTGAGATGAGCTGATGTGTGATCAGTCCTCCTGTCCTCTGCAGGTGATAACGGTCTGATACCCGCTGTGGAAGTCCCCGGCTGACTCAGCGGTGTTCACGGTGTTCGAGCCTGAACTCACCTTCCTGCGCTTCGTGGTCATACGAGGAGGACATGTTCTCAGACCCAACTTCGTGGCTCAGGCTACATTCCTGTGAAAGGCATCCGCTCAGGTGGGAGCAGCAGTCAGCTTCAGTTCTCATCATCTAACTATGATCTTTGTTTTCTGTCACTCACCCTCAGAGGGGACATATACATATACAGATACAAAATATGTCAACGATAATACAAAAAGAACGAGAAAAGAAAAAGCCATTTCACACTTATCATACATGATGCCTGTTGCAATGGTCTGAGTTCATCTATCACACACATTACCGCAGCAATTCATAACATTACATGTATTTTAAACTGTTGACTATTATATATACTATACTATAATCTTACATATCATTTGTTTACTAGGAGCATGATTTCTGTACACTATTCTGAAATAACTTTTCAGTTCTGCCTTCTCTTACCTCTTTTGATACATTTCAGATTCAATATAGAGTAATCAATGAAAATTAATGAAATAAAATAGAAGATAAATAAAATAAAATATTATACATACTGTACATAAGAACAAATAATGTGCAATAGGAAGATAAAATAAGATTAATAAATATAAGGAAATAAAGTAAACTGAACATTAGAAGGTCAATTAAATTAAAAAAGCATATGGAGTTATGTGTAAAATACTGATCAATGTTAGATATGTTGTGGACAACTACATATTATGTATCCGTAATATAACCTCTGAATATTTTTTCAAAGACGCCACTGTGTTTTGAATTTGATTTGAATATTTTCCACTGGCTGATCACATTATGGAAATCCAACGTTAGAAAGGTGTTAATCAGTCACAGTCTGGTCAGGGTCTGCTATTAAAGTTCACTTTTGTGTAAAAGGTCGGCACCTTTCTGTGATCGGCAACACAGAAAGGTGTGTATTTAAATGTTTCAAATAGATGATCAGAATCAGAAATACATTCATAATCCTGGGGGAACTAGTTTTTTGTGACAGTTGGTCCATTAAAGAATGAATACAATTTAAAAAAAATGTAAAATGAATACGCAATGAAAGTAAATACATAAATAAGATACATAACATTAGAAAGTAAAATGTCAAAAACATGATAAATAGTCGAGTGTCAGCATATTGACTACCCTTTGTCAAACAGTCTGATGGCCACAGGCAGGAAGGACTTCCTGTGGCGCTTTGTGGTGCATCATGGTAGAATGAGTCTTTCACTGAAACTACTCTGTGCCTGAGCAGCGTGTCATGGTGTGGGTGAAGACATCCTCCTCTGTGACACGGCCGGCAGACAGTCGAGCTCTACACCAGTGATGTAAGAACATCCGATCTGATTAGTGTTTGTTTCTCCAGGGGTAACCGCTCCGTCCCTCTGAAGAACGGCTACAGCGAAAACTTGGAGTTAGCTCTCTGCTGGTCTACATCAATGTACAACAAGCAGGGGTGAGCACACACACACACACACACACACACACACACACACACACACACACACACACACACAACACACACACGGCACACACACCACACACACCACACACACACGCAACACACACACACAACACGCACCACACACACCACACACACACTACACACACACACACACCACCCACACCACACACACGCACACACACACACAACACACACACACCACACCGCACACACACACACACACACACACACATGCAGACACACACACGCACGCGCACACAGCAGTTGATGTACTCACATGCCCTGTCCTCCAGAAAGCGGAGGAGGAGCTGTACTCGTCCTCCAGCCAGCTGAAGAAGAGGCAGGCGGAGGTGGGGGGCGAGCCCTTCCTGTACGAAACACACACCAACCTCCAGCGCGCCGCTCCCCCTCCCCAACACACCCTCCTTACCAGAGAGGGCAGCACTCAAAGGTGAGCTCATATTATTGGGGGGGTTGGGACCATGGATGTATAATAAGAACTGGATACAGCGTGGGAGGCGGGGCCTCGTTCATTCCTATGAGAGTTTGCTCATTGGCGCATGAAGACAAAATGGCCCAACTTTTGAGAGAGCGAACGTCACGAAGTATTCATATAATCATATAATCCGTTCTTATTGTGCATCCATGGGTAAAGGTAAAACTCATGTAGTACTGAACACGTCACATGAGAGGTTGGGCCACGGCCATTGCCCAACCTCTCATTCGCATATAGGCCTGTCGGAAAGTCACATCTGTGTTTTTGCCTGCTCTTGCCAGGATGTCTAAGGGAGTTAAACGTTGTGCTGTTGTTGGCTGCAAGAATCGGGACAAGGGACTGCATGCAATGCCATCCCTGGAAAAAGACAAGAATCTGTGGCTAGACTTCATTTTCAAGGGACATGTGCCAGAAGACTCCGGCAGATTTCTGCTTGTGTGTTCTAAACATTTTACCACGGACATGTTTATGAACTAGATTTTTTTTTCGCCGGTCAACATGTCCGTTAAAGTTTAAATCTTCCGGACAAAATTTGAAAAGTGCTGGTCAAAGGTCTTCTTTGTTATTTATTGAGCTTTAAAACAAATGAATAAATATAAATATAATAATATAAGAATAATACACGGAGGACGGAGCCTCTCTTTTCCTCCCCCTCTTCTGAGAGCCCAGCAGCTGATCTCCCTCTCCTGCAGGGGGGCGTGGCTCATTTGCATTAAAGCTATGTCACAGAATCAGCCCTTGCAAAAACAGGGCTGGAAAAGAGCAAATAGAGCGAAATGAGGCATGGCTAAAATGCATGATCTGTTTGGTGTTTTGAAAAAAAACCTTCACAGACATGT